ATTGGGAACTTCTCTCTGAGTCTCCACACAATATCCCTTAACCGCTCGTACAGAAATTAACTGCTCGTACATAAGGCGATAGTTTTGAGACCATAAATGCTAGACATTACAAAAAAATAAAAAATATTTTAGAATTTCTAAAATGGTGGGTACCAATTTTTAGTTTTCTAAGATGGTCAATAGGAACTCCTAGAGTTAGATCCTAAGACCCTAAAAAAAGAAATGACCTCAAAAATGAGGTCAACACTTGTGTTGTTGCTCCTTTTGATTAATGGTGTGCTATTGTTTTGTTTTTTTTTCTTCTTTGTTTTATTTTTTCGCAATCAGGAAAATATGAGCTCAAAGAATTCCGGGACATCCCGACGATTGCTCTGCCACTGTGGCCTCCAAACTTTCTTGCTGACGTAATGGCAACCACACAGCAAAGGGATAAAGTTTTGTAGCTGCCCACGTAGCATCACAGCACAGTTTCGCTTCTTCTGTTGGGCAGATAATTCGGCAGATTCCACTAACGACGATGATTGAGAGTGAAGAAAATCACTCGAGGAAAGTCTAGCACGAGAGCTGCACAGTCAGAATGTTAAAAATAATATAATCATTTTGATACTCACTGTGACGTGAGTTGAATATCTGTAATTGTTTTAGACTTTTTTTTTACTCTTAATACTCACTGTGACGTGAGCTGAATATTTGTAATTCTGCATTGTTTTTATTTGAACTTTTTTCTTAAAAGTATCTATTTTATGGCTTATGGAATTGGCTAAAAATTATAGAAGTTTGTTTTTTATATTTTTAGCTTGTAAAGTGAATTTCTGCTTCTAATTTATCATATATAAGACTGTCATTGTTCTGTTCCAAACAGTTTAACTAAGCCGGAGCAGAATTGTCATTTTTTCAGAAACAGCTACCCCCCAGTTGTTTTCACACAGCTGCAACAAACAACCAACTAGCTTCCCCACAGCAGCTTCCTGGGCAGCACAGCTGTAGCTAAAAAACTGGAAAGCTGCAGCTACGCCAAACAGAGCCTAGAGGTTTTCTCAAGCTACTGAATAATTTTAGCTCTTCAAAGTCTATCTTACAACTTTGTTATGAACTTTATAAAAGTAGACTTCTCCACAAAGATTCCTACAACAAATAACTTGCCTACCCAAGTCTGCAAATATATGGTCCGTTTGAGATGGTTGTAGTTTTTCATAAGTGATTGGTAACCTATGGTGGGAAAAATAACTTATGAAAAAAACAGTGGTAGCAATTATAAATAATTATGCTTTTTAAAAAAGTCAATTAACAAACTTTTTACACCTACCACAAAATTTTCTAGAAAGCAACAAAAAGTGCAGTTTTCTAAATAGAATTATGGCGACATCCTGAAACGCAATGCATTCAAAAAGCTATCCCAAATAGATTAATAATCTTCAATAGTTTGCTCAAACTTTTGCCCAAGTTATTTCCATTGAATTCACTTCCGCTCGTGTCCAATGAAAAAAAATTGAAGTCAAAGTAAATCCCTAAATTTAGTCCAAGTAAATCTTATCAAAGCCTAATTCTTGAATTTAGTGTTCCACTTCATGACTGCATTTGAAACATTTCAAGTAAAAAAAAAAAATCATCATGCAAGATTATATATATATATATATATATA